GCCCCCCGGTGCCCATCCAGCGCTTGGCTCCCTCCGCCCGCTGGCCCCTCCCGGCCAAATGCGGACATGGGGCAGCAGCGCTGCACAGCTCGGCCTTCGTGCCTGCTGCCGAGCACGCCCGTGTGTGTGCCAACGCTCCCCGCTTCTCGGGGTGCGGGACCTGCGCACCCCTTCCTCCCCGATGCTCGGCCTGGTAGTCCGGCCATGGAGATGGCTCTTTCACAGCATGGAAGGGAAGGGAGACTCCTAGCTGAGGTCCTTTTTTTGTCCCCGGGCAGCTGCGGGCTCTCCCTGGCACACACGCCACTCTGCTGCGGGGTTTGGGTGCTGGAGCAGACAGGCTGCTGCCGTCCCCATCATCGCTCCAGCCAGAGCGGCCGGTTCGGGAAGGAGCAGTCTGCGCCCCTACCCGCGCCTTTGTCTCTTGTCTGTCCATCCATCTGCCTCCCAACCCTGTGTATCCAATGCCTGGGGCTGGGAAGCAGCCAGGTTTGCTTGGCAGGAGCGCTCAGCCAGGACTGTGCAGCTCTGTCCTGAGCACTTGGTCCATTGTCATGTCCCTTCGCTGTGAGCTGAGTGTGGGGAGCTGGGGGATGCTGGCTGCGCTCCTGGTGCTGCTGTAGTCCTGCTGGCTGTCTCCTCCCTGAGTGTGTTGCCTGGTTTATCAGCATGGACTGGAGGGAAATGAGGCTGGAGCTGATCATCTTGCTGGCCCCAGGGCAGCCTGCATCTTCCCCATGCCAGCTTTGAGCAGGAGAAGCAGTCACCTGTGCCAGCATGGGAACGGCTGGGCAAAGGCTGCTCCAGCTGGGGCCCTGCTCTGCTCCTGCCTGAGCTGAGGGGCGGTGAGGCACCCCACTGGTGAAGTGCTGGTGTAGTCCCTAACTGCCACATAAGCCTGTGCCGTGGGCTCCAAGGGCATCAGCTGAGATCTCTGTGGGTGTCCCAGCCTGTTAGGCCAGGGTACTCTGGTGTTTTTGGCTCCGCAGTGGGTCCTGGTGCTGGGCACAAGCTGTCCTTCTGGCTGGTAGCCCATGACCAGGCGCAGAACAGGTTGGCTGGCTGTGTCCAGGGGTAGGTGAAGCAGCAGTTCCAGTGTCCTGCAGGTTAGGCCCTGACAGTGTCGCACTGCGCTCTTTTGTGACCCGTGGACCTGCGGAATGTGGCGAGCATCTTTTTTAGATGTAGGGACAAGGGGTGGAAGAACGCACACAGATGGCAACTTTGTGACCACAACACCACCAAAGTTGCTGATCTCTATTGCAGAGCGGGGAAACTGAGGCAGGGCACAGCAAGAACTGTCAGCTTCATGGGGTTGAGGACAGGGCCAAGGAGAGATCCCATGCTTGGCTCTGCAGACACTTACATCATGTTCGGAGGAGGTATCACGGTGTCTGGGCATGACTTGAATTACATGTGAACAGCTACGTGGGCCAACGAGGGTCTCACATTGCCCAGTGCCTGGCACGGTGATGTTCCTCCTGGGAGGGCAGGGATGGGACCTCCCGGAGTGGGAGGGCTAGGACAGTCAGTCGCTGGGGAGCAGGAGGAGCAGCTGCACTGGCCTAGAGACATCTTGGTGGCCACATCAATCTCCTGTGATGTTGGGTGGCACCTCTGCCCTGCCCCATGGGGGTCTGTGTCTGCTGGCACTTCTCCCTGCCCTCCTGCTCCAATCGTCCTGCTCTTGTAGCAGGTGTCCACACTATCCACACACCAGCTGGCGGCAGCTCCCAAGGACATGCCCAGGTGATGCTTGGCTGACTGCCTGGAGAGCAGGGGGTTCCCATATCTCCAGTCACCCTGGGGAGACGTGGTGGCACAGGGGTGGCACCTGGGTCCCCTCCAGCCCTCACAGGTCCCCTCCCTATGAGAACCAGGGTGAATGATGGGGCCCCTTGTGTGTTTGGAGCTGGCTGGGCAGAGTAGTTTGGGGAGTGGGAGTTGGGAAGATACTGGTGTTGGCATGTGGACAGCTGAGCTGGAACAGCCTAACATGGCCAGGCTTGAGGTGGGTCTCCAAATGCTCTGTGCAAAATTCATGTGAATGGCACACCCCTCCAGTGTTGCTGCTCATCCTGTCTTCCAAACCCACGTGCACATATTTAATCACCTGGGGGAGCAGGAGGAAAAAAGAAAGAAATCCTTTGCTCAAAATCCTGTTATTGTTTTTCCTGCGAGGAAAAAATTTTCCAGTTTGTTCCCTGGGGACACTGTCACTATGTGTGTATGGGGGTGGGGGGAAGCACATCATGTTGGTCAAAAGTAATTAAAGCTGGGGTTAATTTTCTTGGGGGAGGGTGGGACCCTGGGAAGGCCACAGGGAGTGTTTGGGGCTGAGCACGTCAGAAGCAGCTTTCCATTGTGGCTGCTGAGCTAAATATACCTGTGGATGCACATCGTTGTTTCCACACATCTGCTGCTCAGGCTCCCAGTGCGGTGAGTGGGGTGCGTGTGCTGCCTCGCGTCCTGCTGGGGACACTGTCCCCCCAAACACCATGAGTTTTGGCCTGCCTGGGCTTTGCTTGCTGCCGGCCAGACTGGTGAGGAGAGGTGGCTTGTGCAGAGCCCCAGTCTGCAAAGCATCTGCTGCGGTTGCTGCATCGGCTTGCCAGCGATGCGGCTTCGGGGGAATTAATAGCTGTGTTTATGAGGTGCCCAGGGAGGGGAGATGTGCACTCATTAGCTCTAATAAGAGCTGTTTGCCATGGTGCTTGGCTTCCCCTTTCTCCATAAGTCCCCCGGGACCAGCCAGCTTCCTGCAGCCGGCACATCCAAAAGATTGAGCTGCTGCAGCCCTAACACTCACCAGTGCCTGCACTGAAGCAGAGCTGTGCCTTCACAGGTCTGGCCGTTGGTACCCGGATTTCCTGGGCGGGATGGAGTGCAGTGAGTGGGAATGCAGCGGGTCAGTTGTATGTGCCACCAGAACCAGGAGCCCAGCACAGCCTTGCCTGTCCCCTTCCTATTTGCTGAGGCTATGGCTGTGGACAGCCATTGGGCTGAGTGATTGTTTGCTTTAGATGGTTGTTTTGACACTGAGACTGTCTGGTTGTGGTTTTGCATTTTGCATTTCAAGCTTTTGTAACTGCAGTTTGATCTCACTGCCTCTCAAGCGAGCGTGGCTGGCTGCAGCACATCCCAGCTGCCCGCCTGTGCCCTGGCAGTCCGTGTCAGGGCTGCTTCAATGTATTGATCAGTGTCTACGTGCAGCCCAGAGCTTGCTGCCTGGCCAGGGGCATGGTGGTGAATGAGCCGGAGGCAGGGGGGCTGGCTGGTCCCGTTTGGGCTGTTGGTGCAAGGGCAGTTTTATGTTAAGGCTTTATGTCATTACTGGGTCGGCCTGTGCAATGGTACCCAGCCTTGCCTGTCACCTTGGCTATGAAGGTGGCTGGTAGCATTGCTAGGATGTGCCAATCTCTTTTCTCAACCACAAATGGATCGAGGTTGTCACTGGATGCAGGAGTGGAAGCACCACACTGCAGGCCGAGGTACTGCCAGCCCGCTGCCCGCAGCAGCTGTGGTTCCAGTATGGGTCATGTTCGCATCCTCAGGACCAGGTTCATGTCCCCCAGGACGGGGTTGAGCCCTGAGGCTGCCCTCAGCCCGCTTCTCTTCCTGCAGGATCCGTCCCCAGCTGTCCAAAGAGAAAATAGAGGGATGTCACATCTGCACCTCGGTGACACCTGGTGAGCCCCAGGTGCTGCTGGGGAAGGACAAGGCCTTCACCTACGACTTTGTCTTTGACCTGGACACATGGCAGGAGCAGATCTACATGACATGCGTGGGCAAACTTATCGAAGGCTGCTTTGAGGGCTACAATGCCACTGTGCTGGCATACGGCCAGGTACATGCTCTGTCCACTCTGTGGGCTCTGGCATGGGCTCTCCTGCAGACCTGGGTGCTGTGGATGCTGAGATGGCACCTGCAGAGGTTAAGGAAGGTGGAGGTTATATAAGCTCCTGGGTGTTGAAGGGACAGATTGTCCCTGGGCTTGGTGAGAGCTGGGGCAGGGGGTAGCCTTGGATGGGAGGAGGGAGGCAAGGCTGGGGTGGGAACCTGGATGCTGGTGTGGTGGTGGGGATCAGAGTGGCTCAGCAGAGGCATTTGGGAAGCCTGGAGTGGCAGGGGAAGGTGTGGGATGCAGTAGGCAGAGCTGAGCCTGGGGGGACCCAGCCAGCTCCACCCTTGCTGCCTCTGCAGACTGGTGCGGGGAAGACGTATACCATGGGCACCGGCTTCGACGTGAGCATCTCTGAGGATGAGCAAGGCATCATCCCACGGGCCATCGGCCACCTCTTCAGCGGCATCGAGGAGCGCAAGCGGGCGGCACAGAGTCAGGGCATCGCGGCGCCCGAGTTCAAAGTCAGCGCCCAGTTCCTGGAGGTGAGTGAAAGCAGGTCTGAAGGACGCTATAGCCCTGCCCTGTCCTTTGCTCAGCTCCCGTGTCCTGGGCTCCTTGAGTCCTCCTTGTGCTGGCTGCTCCCAGGCTGAGCAACAGTCATGCGGCTAGGGATGCATGCCAGGGCAGAGGAGACTCAAAGTTCCTGAATGTTGTTGACTTCATGATGGCCATAAACTGGGATGGCACTTTCTTGGCTTCAGGGAGCTCCCCCCCATGAGAAAAGGGCTTATGCCTTGGTCCCTTGGAGATTCAGGGGCTCTGGGCTCGCTTACACCTGAGGTTGAGGATAGCATCATACCTGCTTCCCTGGGGCTTGACCAGCTTTCTCAGTGAAACAAGTAGTTTAAGAAGTGCCATACTTGTGGGGATTTGAGGAAGGGCTGTGTTATTTCCCATGTCCTTTGCTGCATCTTTGACCTTGAGAATGCTTCATTGCATTCTCTCCCGCCTCTGCTTTGGCCTCTCCATTTAAAAAAGCTTCTTCTATTAACTGCTTCTTTCCCTGGAGAAAGCCTGTGGACCTTGTGTGTCTGCAGCAGTTTCTCTGGGGGCTGGTCCGGGGGTGAAGGGGCAAAGAAGTTCAAGATGGGAACTGGTTGAAGGCCCTGGTGAGAAAACAGGGTGGTGTTGAGCAAAGCTGAGCTCCTGAACAAATTTAATCTGGTTGGTGTCCCACTATGGGGTACAGCCCACAGGAGACAGGCAGTCAGAAGGAGAGGCCCTGTGCTGTGATCTTGCCCCCATGTGACTTTGGTGGTCATCACATCTGGGTTCCTCCAAATGCCCATGGCCTGGAGAGGCTTTCTTCCCACTGGAGAGTCCCCTAATGCTGTTGGGGCGGGGGTACTGTCCTACCTTCCTTGGGCTATAGGATCGGATACTGGCCTTCAGCCCAGTGTGTGTCCCCTCACCCTATGCAACACACTTTTCCTCTCAGGCACCCCGTATCTGCCTTCTAGGAGATCCTCTACTCTTCAGCTACAGTTTCCCTTGCCTCAGTTTCTCTGACTCAATTCAGGGTGGCTGGACACTGCCCCAAGGAGCTGGGTGACCTGTTGGTTGGGGGTGGGACACATGAAAGATGAATGCGGGCGAGGGGACACCCACGCGTCTCCTCTCCTATGCTTGCACCCACATCAGCTCTTCTGGTCAGCCTTGCTTGGGCAGACACTTTGTGTATGTGTGAACACACGCACTCCCAGCCGTGCAGCCTGTCCTTCTGGCTCTTGGGACTGCAGCAGCAGGATGGCAGAGGACAGCTCTTGTTGGTCCCACTGTGCTGTGCTCTAGCAGTGTCCTGCTTACTATTACTCACCCACACCCTCTTCCGCCCTGCTCAGCTCTACAATGAGGAGATCCTGGACCTGTTTGACAGTGCCCGTGACCCTGACACACGCCACCGCAAATCCAACATCAAAATCCACGAGGATGCCAGCGGGAGCATCTACACCACGGGGGTCACGTCACGCCTCATCAGCTCAAAGGATGAGGTGGGTGCACAATGGGGCAGACCTGGAAGAGGGATGCAGCTGGGTGCCCACTGGCCAGGGACGTGCTGTGTGGGGACAGCTGGGTGAGGGGAGATGTCTCACCTTGGATGGGACAGAGCAGCCCTGGGGTGATGCAGGGAGAGGTCAGTGTGCTCGCTGGGCTGTGGCAAGGTGCTGTCCTGACTCCCTAGAAGGGTGCTTCAAGGTTTCATTCTTCCCTGCTCCATGTTGTTGTAGTTGATCCAGTGCCTAAAACAGGGGGCTCTTTCCCGCACCACCGCCAGCACCCAGATGAATGTGCAGAGCTCCAGATCCCATGCCATCTTCACCATTCACCTGTGCCAGATGAGAGTGTGCACCCGCCCGGAGCTGGTGAGACGTGCTGCTGCCTCATGCCTGGGCTGTTACTGGGGCGGATACCCAGGCAGTGTGTGTGGGTCCCTTGGAAAGGGGAGAGGGTTTGAAGCCTTGCCAATGGAGATGGGGCTTTGTCTTTCTTCTTTCCAGTCATAGCCAATGTTAGCATTTAATGGGAGCTGAGGTCTGCCCTGATGCAGCCCCATCCAAGACAGGGATGGTCTGGCCCAAGGGATGGCCCAGAGGAAGCTTCTCTTGGGGTTTTCTCACCATCCTTGAGGGGCTGGATATGGAGGGGATGCTCAGGCTTTTGCTGACATCTGAGTGCAGCCAAGGGAATTCCTGCCCACTCTGGGTCCATGGTGGTGACCCTCTCTGTGTGTGCCTGGCCACAGGTGAATGGGGAGGTGACCAGCCTCCTGGATGGAGCCCAGCCCACCACCGAGTATGAGACCCTCACGGCCAAGTTTCACTTCGTAGACCTGGCTGGCTCGGAGAGGCTGAAGCGAACAGGTGCTACCGGTGAGAGAGCAAAGGAAGGCATCTCCATCAACTGTGGACTGGTACGGCCCCAAGCACCAGCATGCAAGGGGAGGGGGGAGGGCCTGCCTTGGAGAGCCCGGGACACCTTTCGAGTGGCTCTGTGCTCTTGGGATTGCTGCTGTCTCCGCTGGCATATATGCTGCCTGGCCCTGTAGGCAGGAATATGCACAATCCAAAATGCCAGTGGTGAGGGCTGCCCTGCTCCTGAGAGCAGGAGTATGGGGGTGGATATCTCTGGTAACAAATGTGCAAGTCCCCAGGAGGTTGAGGTCTTCTAACCTGAGCTTAAAAAAAACTCCAGAGCTCAATGCTGCTCCTCGATGCATGTGGGAGAGAGGCACAGACCAGGAGAGGGGGGCAAACACTGAGTCTGGCAAGGAAAGCCCCATGCCTCCACCTCTCATACCTGAAACCTGTGCTGCAGCAAATGCCCCAGGCCTGACATGCTAGCTACGTGAAAGCTGGATTCTCAGCAGGGGCTGAATTTGGAGGGGCTGTCCTTTGTGTTGGTAGCTGGCCTTGGGGAATGTCATCAGTGCCCTCGGAGACCAGAGCAAGAAAGTTGTGCATGTGCCCTACCGTGACTCCAAGCTCACCCGCCTACTGCAGGATTCCCTTGGGGGCAACAGGTAAGGGGATCCCAGGCTAGGGCTGAAACCTGGGAGAGGACCAAGGGTCTATAGAGCCATGTGGCAGCTATTTTGGGACTCAATCGCCTTGTGGGTTGCCCAGTAGGGAGGGGATGCTTACTGGCAGGCAGTGCATGACTTTGCAGATTTAAAGACCTTGGCCCCTCATGAGTCCCAGACGCAATTAGCTAGCTTTGACAGAAGTAGCTGGTGCAAAACACTCCAGAGCCCTTGCAGATCTGGGATTTGGCAGGTGGTGTTGCCCAGAATGGGATGGATTGAATTCCCTGCCTGCTTTGGGGGTGCTTCTCCAAAGACCCCATCCTTCCCTAGAAGTCCTAGCATGTGTAGGCTGGCTGGTGGACATTGGCTTTGCTGAGTGCTGTGTGATGTGCTGCTCGTGGGGTTTCCTAGTGCTCTGGCTCTGGGAGGGACTAAACCCAGTGTGTACCTTGGTTAAAAAACACTGAAGGGCCTAGGATGGGTGTCTGGGTGCATGTGGCTGTTCTGGGTCACAGGTTTCCAGGTGCTGAGTTGGCATAGAGTGGGGAAAACTGTCCTTTACCCTGACCTTCACCTTCCCAAGCCAAACCATCATGATTGCCTGCGTGAGCCCCTCTGACCGGGATTTCATGGAGACCCTGAACACGCTCAAGTATGCCAACCGGGCTCGCAACATCAAGAACAAGGTGGTGGTGAACCAGGACAAGACAAGTCAGCAGATCAGCGCGCTGCGGGCTGAGATCGCCCGCCTGCAGATGGAGCTGATGGAGTACAAGGCAGTGAGTGGCCAAGCGAGTCTGTGGAGGTGGAATGGAGGCAGGAGGAGAAATCCTCTTCCCTGTGTATGAACTGGGGTGGGTTTAGTGGGAAAGACTCTCCTGCCTACCGTGCTCTGCCCCTACTGATAGGGGTAATTGCGAGAAGTCAGGAGGCTTGAGATGAGGGCTCAGCTCCTGCCCTGCCATGGGCAGGACCTTGGGCAAATCTCTTGGGGATGCCAAGGCAGGGAGAAGCCTTGAAGCGTCTCTCACCCTCTGCCTGTTGAGTCTCAGGCTTTCCTAGTCCTTAGATTTGTCTCTGACCCTGATTTGGTGGCTGGGGTTGCCCCCAGCAATGCAGTGGTGGGCCCCCATGTCCCAGCTTGCCCTGCACTCAGGGACTTCCCCCCTCTCCCCACAGGGCAAGCGAGTCATTGGGGAGGATGGCTCAGAGGGCTACAGTGACCTTTTCCGTGAGAACGCCATGCTGCAGAAGGAGAACAGTGCCTTGCGCATGCGGGTGAAGGCCATGCAGGAGGCCATCGATGCTATCAACAGCAGGGTCACCCACCTCATGACCCAGGAGGCCAATCTGATGCTGGCCAAGGCAGGTGAGGCTGGGCTAGTGATGGCGCGGTGGACAAGTCCAGTGTGGCTGGGATGGGTGCTGCAGTACAGCCCGTGTCCTGCTTGATCCACATCTGCTCCTCCAGGTGATGGCAATGAAGCCATTGGTGCCCTCATCCAGAACTACATCCAGGAGATTGAAGAGCTGAGGTGAGCCGGGTATGGGTGCTGGTGAGTCAGCTGGGTCCCGGTCTAGTGGGTGCATTGGGGGGGTAGGAGACCAGGTGTAGCTCACAGCTCTGTGCCTCCAGTGTCACTGGGGTATTAAGCCCTGATGGCATAGCAGCTGACTACACTGCTGTGACACCAGGCATGTAGGAGTCCCATTCTTGATGTTGGGCAGTATTTTGGCCATTGTCGTCCCTTGTGTGGCCATTAATAGAGGGGGAGATCCTGGCAGGAGTGTCTGGTGTCTCCCAAGGAATCCTGGTTCCTCAAAGATGGGTCCATTTCAGCCTCTTGGGTGATCTGGGGACCCTGTCTTGCAGCATTCTCACCTTCTGACCCAACATGAATGCGAATGGCTTAGTGGTGACTTTGTCCTCGGCTCACACCATTCTAAAACCAGGCAAGATCCCCTCTTCTGGGGACAGTGGGATGTCCCCTCTTTGACCACATGCCATCTCCACTCCATAGGACAAAACTCCTGGAGAGCGAGTCCATGAATGAGTCCCTGCGTCGCAGCCTCTCGCGTGTCTCTGCCCGGCCCCCCTACTCCATGGGCTCGTCCCCTGCATCTGGCTTTGCTGGCCTGTGCAGCCCTGCTGCTCTAGTGGAGACGGAGGCCTCTGATGTCCTCCAGCGGGCTAAGCAGGACTTGGAGCGCCTGAAAAAGAAAGAGAGGAGGCAGAGGAGAAAAAGGTGAAGGCAGCTGCTGTGCGATACTGGGAAGGGGGAAGCTGTGTTTCGGTCCCCGTCTATCCTTGTGGGGTCAGGTATCCTGCTTCCCTCATCTGTGCAAAAGCCCAAGCACCAAGACAGAGCCCAGATGCTTGGGTTCCCCTCCCAGTGCTGTCTTGCCCTTGGTCTACTTCTACCCACCACAGTCCCAGAGGCTCTCTTCCAGAGGGTCTGAAAGAAGGAGGTGAGGGGGGCCCCAACAGGACCCGTCCTTGGACTCCCCCACGCTGGGACTCACCAGCACACCTCTGCTGTCCCCCAGCCCAGAGAAGGAAGCATTTAAGAAGCGGCAGAAACTGCAGCAGGACAACGGGGAGGAGACGGATGAGAACGAGGGGGAAGAGGTGAGTGGTCTTCACAAACACAAGGAGGGTGTTTGGCTGTGGAGCACTGTGATCACTCCATGTGTGAGAGGAGCCGAGCCCAGTGTGGCTCTGCAAGAAGGCTGGAGGGGTTGTGCAGCTGAGAACTCCATGCTGGAGTAGGGGGAAACCCACATCTTTTGGGGCTTGGTTTCAATAAGCGTAGGCGAAGGGGGCATGGGCAGTGCAGTGCTACTCAGCTGGGAAGGGATGGAAGGGGCACAGAGCTGCTGCTCTCAGCAGTGTACACAGTGTACAGAAATGTTGCTGCAGCCCCTGGGCATCCTGTTTGGGAGGCTGAGGCCCATTGTGGGTGCTACATCCTATCGCTGTGGGGTGAGCTCGGTTTTAGAGGAAGGAAGAGCTACAGAAAGAAGGGCAAGGCCATGCTGCAAGCTGAGGTTAGGCACTTGTCTGTTAGGAGGAGGAAGAACAGGATGAGAGCGGCTGTGAGGAAGAGGATGGACATGAGGATGAAGATGAGGACTCGGGCAGTGAAGAGAGCCTGGTGGACTCAGACTCGGATGCAGAGGAGAAGGGTAAAGTGTGGTGCCATGCATGCAGCCCAGGGTATTTGGGGTGCATTTGTTGGTGTCTCCTGGCCCTGAGCTCTGGTCCTGAGAAGGGAGAGTCTGCTGGGAGACCCCAGCCACATCCCTTCTGGGGGACTTGGAAAAGGACCAGAGTTGCTGCAGGGAGTCTCCAACACTCTTTGGGGTGCTCCCAGTGGTGGGGACTCTTACCAGCTCCCTCTGTCCCCTCTGTGCTATGGCTCAGTGGGGCCATGGGAGCAATGCTCCCACCATCCCTCCTGACCTGACTATCCCCCACCGGCCTCCAGCCGTGAATTTCCAGGCAGACCTGGCAGATCTGACTTGTGAGATAGAGATCAAGCAGAAGCTGATTGATGAGCTGGAGAACAGCCAGCGGCGCCTACAGACCCTCAAACACCAGTATGAGGAGAAGCTGATCCTGCTGCAGAACAAGATCCGGGACACACAGCTGGAGCGGGACCGGGTCCTGCAGAACCTCAGTGAGAATCACCTCACCTGCAGAATCCCATCTCCCTCGCATCAAGCCCCAGTTCCTACTTCTGCCTAGCTGGCTCAGAGCCAAAGCATGCCCTGCGTGTAATTCTGGCTCGGGTAGAGCTTTGCCACTCCCCTGCTTTTGCCTGGGGCCCTGGGACACCCCAGACCCTGCTTGTCTTGCCATGGGAGTAGGGCTAGTCAGCTGAAGAGCTCCTGACCCCACTGGTGCTGGAGACCTCTCTGGAAAGAGATAAGGCAAAGCCTATTCTGGCCTTGCACTTGGGGAAACTGAGGTGCTGAGGGACACGTGAAGACCCCAAAGACCTAGTGGTGTAGCTGATCTCTAGGCTCAGCAGGGTAGCACATGGCTGTGGGTCTAGGTCTGCAGCTCTCTGAGCCCAGTGACTGTGCTGTAATCCACTGTCCCCTGTTCTGAGCCCAACCTTATCTTTTCCAGTGGATACCCCCAGACAGACCCCAGCCAGAGATGGGGCCAGCGCACAGGGGAGGGCTCTGGTGGGATGGGGAGGGAGCAGTGCCCAATGGCTCCAGGCAGGGTGCGTAGGTGCCAGAGGAGCCTGGGGTGGATGGCCATCACAAGCCCTCTCATCACTCCCCTAGGCACCATGGAGTGCTACACGGAGGAGAAAGCCAACAAGATCAAAGCAGACTATGAAAAGCGTCTGAAGGAGATGAACCGGGACCTGCAGAAGCTCCAGGCAGCCCAGAAGGAGCATGCTCGCCTGCTCAAGAACCAGTCCCGTTACGAGCGGGAGTTGAGGAAGCTGCAGGCAGAGGTGGCAGAGATGAAGAAAGCAAAGGTACCGGGACACGCCAGGGCAGGGAGGGCATCCCTGATCAAGTCTGGCTCCCCACTCCGAAGCGATGTTTGCCTCTCCTGGTGGCCAGTACAGGACAACTCTCTGCCTGGGAGGTGGGTGCCCTGGGACAGTCAGGTGCACGTACCGACAGGTGGTACCTTCCTGTTCCAGGTTGCGCTGATGAAGCAGATGCGTGAGGAGCAGCAGCGGAGGCGGCTGGCAGAGACAAAGAGGAATCGGGAGATTGCGCAGCTCAAGAAGGAGCAGCGCCGGCAGGAGGTGAGAGTACAGCTTGCCTGTGTGACACTGGCCATCCCTGTGCAGGGGGGCAACTGAGCTGGCCGGGGATGGGTGTTTGTCCTGCTCTGGCACTTCAAGGTGCTCACAAATACCAGTCGGAGAAGTTCGGGGCCCTGCTGCACCCCACCCATAGCCTCACCACAGGCCATGCAGCCCTAGCAGAGCACACCTGGCTGGATGGCTCCCAGGGGCTTCCCACAGCTCCCAGTTTGGTTGTGGGAGATGCTGTAAACTCCCTACGATGCTCAGGGTTGATGTGCCATCAGGGCCAGCCTCGAGGCTGGAAATCTGCTTGCTGTTAAAATCAGGAGTGAGATTGTTCAAGCCAGAGTAACTGCTCCAAGATTTGGTCATGTGAGCCATGGGACTATGACTGTTACTGGGGTGTCTGGGCAGGACCTCAAGGATGTCGTTGTCTGTCTGTCTTGTGCAGTTTCAGATCCGGGCTCTGGAGTCTCAAAAGCGGCAGCAGGAAATAGTGCTGCGGAGGAAAACCCAGGAGGTGAGGGATCGGGAGGAAGTTGGCCCCCATGCAGGCCCCAGCCCCCATGGGATCCTAGCCCCAGCACCTGGCTCAGAAACACCCCATCTTCATGACAGTGCCAGCTCTGGGAGTGGGTTTCTCAAAAGGGTGGGAAGGTTTTTATGGCTCACTAACCAGGTGGCAGATGGTTGCAGGCAGGTTGCAGGAATTGCTCATCTCCCAAGGCAGCTGAACCTGGCAGCAGGGGATGGGCAATGAGGGAGAAGGGCGCAAGCGGCCCCAGGGCTGCAGGTCTCCAGAGCTGCTGCTCTTGGTCCCATGAAGACCTGGGGGTGACTGCAACAGTGTTGGGGTGGGGACACCTGCCTGACATCCTCTTCTCTGCCTCTCTTCTGGGCAGGTCTCAGCACTGCGCCGTCTTGCCAAGCCCATGTCTGACAGGGCTGCGGGGAGGACGAGCCAGAAGCCAGCCATGCTGGACTCGGGGGTGGAGGTCTCAGCCAGTACCACCTCCTCCGAGCCCGAGTCCAGTGCTCGCTCTGTCTCCAGCATCGTGCGCCAGTGGAACAGGAAAATCAACAACTTCCTGGGAGACTCCTCATCCTCCGTGAATGGGGCTCGGTCCACCAGGTCAGGGCAGCAGGGGCCACATGAATGGGTGATGAGGCATCCCAGGACTCCCACGTCTGGCTTTTGGCTGCTGGGGGAGATTGAAAGGCAGCTTCTTATTGTGCCTTTGGCCCATGTTAAACCACTGACCCAGTGACAGGCTGCGTTAGCAGCATGTGACTGACTGCCACCTGGGCTTGAGTCCAGCGCTGGCCTTCCAGGAGCATTAAACATCATGGCACAAACCCTGCTGGCCTCACCTTTTGTCCCTCTCTTTGCTAAGGAGAGATGGAAAAGTTGGGTAATCCAGAAATGATGCAGGTGCCTCCTCTGCTCCTGGTCAGCCAGAGCCCAGGCATCCTTTGGGGACAAGCACAGCTTTCCAGGCATGGTGTAACTGGTCACCCATGTGCCTCTTATCCCCTCTGGCTGTAGGAAGAAGTTCCCCAAGAAGAGTGTGAGCCAGACCTTCAGTAAAGCCGCCCGTCTCAAATGGCAGTCCCTGGAGCGGCGCATCTTTGACATTGTCATGCAGAGGATGACCATTGTCAACCTGGAGGCTGACATGGAGCGGCTCATCAAGGTGACAGTGGCACTGGGGACAGAGCAGGCTGGGTGGTATGTGTGGGGCAGCGAGACAGCTATGTTGACAATGTCAATCCCCCTCCCTTTTCCCCCAGAAACGTGAAGAGCTGGCGCTGCTGCAGGAAGCATTGCTGGGTAAGAGGGCGAAACTGCAGGCAGAGAGCCCCATGGAGCAGAAGGGGCTGCAGGAGCTGAACGAGGAGATCGAAGTGCTGGGAGCCAACATTGACTACATCAACGACAGCATTTCTGACTGCCAGGCCACCATCATGCAGATTGAGGAGACCAAGGTGGGCAGCTGCATTGGGCCCGGCTGGCAGGGAGGGAGCAGGAGCATCCCTGGGAGGCGAGGGTGTCCGTGGGCATGGCCAAGCTGGGTGTCCTGGAGTTCTCTGAGCCAAGTCATGCACTCAGGGGGGCTGCGCCCACACAGTCACTTCTCATTAGGTGGTTAATTGTGGAGGGGAGTGCTGCCACATCTTTGAACATCTATGGACATGCTACTGGTGCCCTGTGCCCCACCGCCCTGGGATGTAGGGAAGCTGCAGCTCCCATCTTGCCCATGGGACTGGCAGCCATTTGTCCCCATGGGACTTTCACACGCTAGAAACATCCCAGGGAGGACTGGATTTTTTTCCAGCAGAAACCCTGCGGGTTTTGTGTCCAGTTTTGACAGTGGGCACGCTGCAGAGATGCTGGGTGGCTCCCGGCTCCCCTCTAGTGGCTGCAGCCTGGGCTGTGGAGGCTGTGTGCTGTCCCTGGCTCATCCCTGTCCGTCACTCGCGTTGCAGGGGAAGAAAGTGTTGTTGTTAATTCACACTAGCCTTTGGGTTGACGACCTAATGTGCTGTGGATTTGCGTGAGACTGATGTCTGCAGATTAGTGTTTACTTAAGTGTTGGCATCAGGATTTCTGCAGCAACACAGAAGCCCTTCAGGTCGCATTAGCTATCTCCATGGCTGGATCTCCCCTGTAGCCACTTGGGCAGACGGAGGACAGCAAGCACTGGGACTGCTGGCCACGGTGCCCATTCAGCCCATCCCATGCCCAGCGGCAAAGCTCCCCCACTGCATCCAATGCCTGTCCCTCCACGTTTCAGGAGGAGCTGGACTCCACGGACACCTCGGTGGTGATCAGCTCCTGCTCCCTGGCCGAAGCCCGGCTCCTGCTGGACAACTTCCTGAAGGCCTCCATCGACAAGGTGCGGGGCCAAGGCAGGACCCAGATGCGTAATGGGGTTCCTGCTGCTGGGGAGGGGAGCAGGAGCAGGGTACTAGGGTGGGGACCTGAGACACCCACCTGAGGCCCACTGTGCTGGCCTTCCCCAGGGGCTGCAGGTGGCACAGAAGGAGGCCCAGATCCGCCTGCTGGAGGGGCGCCTGCGGCAGACAGATGTGACCGGCTCCTCGCAGAACCACGCCATCCTGGATGCCCTGCGGGAGAAGGCTGAGTTGCACCCTGAGCTGCAGGCCCTGATCCAGAACGTCCAGCAAGGTAGGACACATCCTTGGGCCAGGCATGCTGCCTGTTGGGTGAGATGCCCACCCAAGCTTGCCCCCAAAAAGCACCTGGAGGTGCCACAGCTGGGACCAGCGTGCCCAGGGCTTCCTTGAGTGTGATGCATGGTGTCCAGAGCATGTGTCCCCAGCCAGCAACAGGGCTGAGGACTGGGTCTTCAGCCCCAACTGCTGGGGCTGTTCCCTCTGCTACACAGCTCAGATGGGGCTCGGCACGATGGGGTCCCCTCTGCACTGCTGATGTGCTGTTTCCCTTCTGCACAGAGAATGGCTACACCAGCACAGATGAGGAGGTCTCCGAGTTCAGCCTAGCTTCAGATGGGAGGTGAGTGCCTAGACCAGCCCTGACTGCTGTGGAGGCCAGGGGTGGTGTAGGATGTCTGGTGCCACCCATGGGACCTTGCAGATGCACATGGACAGGCCCACCAAAGCTTTTCTGTGGTGCCCAGCCCTCCCCAAGGCAGGAGAGCAGAGGTGTCTTTAGACACCAGCAGGGAGTGAAGACCAGGTCATCCCTTGGCGAAAAGGTGCTAGGGAGCAGGGGTGATGCAAGGAGTTTGGTGGGCCAGTGGTAGTCTCTGTATGTGAAAGAAGATCGGTCTTTGTTCCCTTCTCCTTGCAGCGTCTCCCAGTCTTTCACCATGAAGGGCTCAGCAAGCCAGGACGACTTCAAGTTCAAGGTTAGTTGGCCCTTCTGTGTGGCTCCATCACGGGGAACAGGAGGAGGGGTGAGGGGCATGTTGTTCAGTTGTGCTCCCGGCCTCTGCTCTGCAGTCTTGATTCTTGGAGAGCCAGGCTTGGCATGAGGCAGTATGGCTGATCTCTGGGTGGGGTCAGCTCTAGTCAAGGGTGAACCCAGGCCTCCTGGTCCTGTGGTCCTCTGAAGCACCAGAGACTTGGGAAACATCCACTGCATCAGCCAATACCCTCCAGATTTGGGTGGGCACCAAGGAGGTCCCTGTGCAGTGCTGCATCCACTGTGGGCAGTGGTGGAGGAAAGCACCCATTGTTCTGCACAGGCTGTCACATTTGCCTAGAGCATGGAGGTCTGGCACTAGGATGGGCATCCTAGCACCCCCCATGCAGGGGGGGCTCAACCTCCTGTGTCCAGAGATCATGAGCTGCTCCACCCCACAGCTCCTTGGCTGTTCCCCCTGTGCTCCCCTTCGGCTGCCTGTGCCTGAGCCCTCTGCCTTGCTCTAGGGAGAGCCCAAGCTCTCAGGGCAGATGAAGGCAGTGTCGGCTGAGTGTCTAGGACCCACGCTGGACGTTTCCACCAAGAACATCACCAAGTCCTTAGCATCCCTGATGGAGATCAAAGAGGATGGAATCAGCTTCTCCATCCGAGACCCCTATCACAAGGAGAAGGTGTCACGCACCATCAGCCTGCCCACACGAGGAAGCACCTTGTGAGCATGGGGTGATGGGTTTCTGGGCACTGGGAGGCTCCTGGAGGCATGGGCCAGCAGGTGGGAAACTGTGCCCAGGCTGTGGAGTAGCAGAGCGGTGAGCATGAGCCCAATTTTGCATCTATCCTGCAGCAGGCAGTGGTGGATTTCTCCAGTGGGACTTGGCGAGTGTCTAGGAGTATGTTGGTATGCTCTGCAGATGGAGAGAAGGGTATTCGAGGAGGAGGGAAAGAAGAAGCGGGTATGCAAGGGTCCCAGACTCACTGCCCTGGGTTATCAGCCACCTTGGAGGCTTCCTGGGTTGCCAAAAGCCTCCGCGCAAATGGGATGACTCAAGGCATCCTCTGATCTTGTGATTGTGACTCCAGGGAAGCCCAGCTTCTCCATTTGCTCTGCTGGGGAAGGACATGGGTGTTCAGCATGGAGGGATCCCAGCAGTGGGGCCAGGCACCCACTGTGCTCTGTTTCACTTGTTTTAGTCCCAGGCAATCTCGTGGTTCGGACACTTCACCTCTTACAAGGAGGAAATCCTATGATCGTGGGCAACCTGTCAGGTGAGCTTGGGAGCTGGAGAAATGTCAATGGGTGGTCCAGAGAAGTGGGGAGAGATGCTGGCTGGGCCAGCTCTTGCTGCACCCTGGTGTTCCAAGCTGCCAGGTGAGCGATTCCCAAGTCATGTGTCCCTCTAATCCTTCCTGGCTTAGGCCTCCAGATGTTGGCTTCACGCCTCCCTCCTCCCCACCCACCCGTCCACGCAACGACCGCAATGTCTTCTCTCGTCTCACAAGCAACCAGAGCCAGGGGTCTGCCTTGGATAAGTAAGTCCTGGTGGGATGGGAGTGAGGGGGACCCAAGCCAGCAAATGGCACATGCTGAGTCACATGGAGGCTTGTAGGAGCACAGGACCTGGGTCAGCTCCAGTCAGCCTCCTGCCACCATTTTTGCTCCCTGCTCTCCATGAGGGAGTGGATACTCTGCAAGGGCTGTGCTGAACCCCTGCCCTGCCTGCTGCGTGTGTCCTCTGAGCTGGCTGCTTTGCAGGAGCTCACAGTCCTGGCCTCTGACTAAGTCCTACTTGGAGACATAGCAGTGCTAGATCTGGATCACTGGAAAAGGCTGTGGAGTAGGATGGGATGAGGCGGGATGAGGGCTCGGAGGAAGCTGAAGGACTGGCACCAACCCACAAAGGCTGCTCCAGTCTCCCCCAGAAGTAGATCAGGCAGCTGCCCTCGTCTTGAAGCGTTGCTAGCAGAGCTGACTTTCCCTGATAGAGACCTGCTGTATGATCCTCACATGCCCTCCTACTCCTCTGCTCTGCCCCTGGTTCTCCATGTGTGATTCTATTTCCCCCTCCTCTTCTCTGTCCTACACTGGCTTGGATGCAATAACAATCCTCCATCTCTGACTCCTCTGCTGCCTCTTCTAGTCTGGGTTTTCTTTCCCATAATCTTGCTAATTTTCTGCCCCTAGGTCTGATGACAGCGATTCCTCTGTCTCGGAGGTGCTGAGGTATAGACAACTTCTGTTTATTGTCCCTTCGCCCTCTCCTCCTCATCTGTTTCATGAGTGGGCTTCCCTTGTCCCTGCATGCTCCACCTGTGCCTTGCTGCTCTCCCCCACCTCCCAGCTTGTGTGTGCTGTCCCCCTCCCCAGCATGCCACTCCCCTCAGTTGCAAGTTCAAACGGTTCCTGCTCTGATCAGCCCATGGAAATGTGGCACTGGGCTCACATATGGGCACTGGCTGGTTTGGGGTGGCAGCATGTTCTCTGCTATATGTGATGGGCTCTCATCAGCATGATACCACCATGTCTCATTCCATCCCCCAGCTCTCCAGCAGGATGTTGTGTTGCTGGTGAAGGGGGCAAGTAACCCTGGGTGCTCCTAGTGTGTTCTTCCTGCAAGCATCTTCCAGGCAAATATCTCCAGGAGCTCCCCACACATGGTTGTGCTTCCCGGGTGCTGGGTTTTGGGTGGGTAAATCTCTTTCCCAAAGAAACCGAGACAGATTGTGGTGTTGGGGCTAAGGTGCTCCTGTGCTTGTCCCACTGAACCCTCCTGCCAATACTAGGGCCACCTTTCCCCCATCCTTTAGGAACATCAGCCGGCCAGCACCCAGGTGTCCCCTCACATTGTCCATGCCCTGAGTTCCCACAGTTCACTGGGGAGGTGGCACCAGGTTGTCTGTGCCGCTGGTCCCTTGGGCAGTTTGCCATCAGGCAGCAGTATAATCCATCGATAACGATAATGTCTCGCCCTGGAGAGCATGATTTCCATTTCCATTCAATGTCACACCCAGGTGGGTAAAACACTAGGGGTCAGGGGAGGGCTGCTTCCTTGGAGTTTGTGAGTGCAGCTGCTAACTGAGAAAGGAAGATTATATGCATGTGACTTTTAAACCCAAATTAATGAGCCTGTGTTTGTCCTTATGACTCAGGCAAACCCTATATGGCCTTGGGCCTGCCCTGTGCCTCGGTTTCTTATAGGAAGAGACTAGCACAACCCAGAGCCCCAGGCCACGAGAAGGCTGTGCTTTGGAATTTCAGCTGGGAAGAGCAGCTGTTGGTGGCAGTGTATACTTGGGTCTGGAAGGGTTGGGCTGTTGGTCCTCAGCACCCCAACCACTGCTGAAGTGGAGGGGATTGGTGGATGTTGTGTCCAGAGGGACAGGCAGCAGGTGCCCCTCGGAGGAAGGTTTGGCAGGGATCAGAGCGATGGGTGCAGGGCCTCCACAGGCATTGCACAGGGATGCTGGCTGCAAATACTGCTGCTGTCCTTCATCACCCTTGTGGCCTTATGTAAAGGAGCAGGGCCCTGTCTCCAAATGTCACCAGCCACAGACTGACGGACTCCAAATTTTATCCCAGCAGAGCTTCAGGCTGGAGAAGGTGCAGTTTGTCCCAAGCTGACCTGAGGACCGATGAGCTGGTTCTTCTGGTTCCTTGGGTCTGTGCTGGCCAGGCGTGAAAGGTTCAGAGAGGCCACTGGGCAACCTCCCTTTTCCAGTCTGTGTTGCTGGGGCAGAGGCAGTAGGCAGGGACTGCTTCTGGGGTCTACATGAAGACCCCAGCATGTTCTGACATGCTGGGTTCAGATGAAGGGGCCCATTGCGCCCATTGCACTGCCAGGTGGTGGAAAATGATTGCGGTGAGGCGTCTCTTGCTCTCCTGTGCCTCTGGGGCTGTGCACCATGGTGTCTTTCCACACACATCCTATCATGCTTGTCCTTTCTTTCTTATGCAAGGGGCATCATTAACCCCGTGGGTGGCACGAAGAATGTCCGGACAGCCCCGCTGCAGTGCATCTCTGTGGCGGAAGGACACACCAAGCCTGTGCTCTGCCTGGATGCCACCGACGAGCTGCTTTTCACTGGGTCCAAAGGTGTGTGGTGGACAGCAAGAATATGGGGGTTGCTGGCCTGCAGATGCTAGGAGAGCAGGTTGGCGTGGGGGGAATACATGAGTGCTGAGCACCATGGGGATGGTTCCTCCTGGGCCTCTTTCTTGTCCTCAGCTTTGAACTTTGCCCTGCTCTGCCCCAGTGCTGGGGCTGGCTGGCTCCTTTCCTGTGGCTCTGTGGGTGGGGGAAAGTAATGCTCAGAAAGGATATTGCCACCATGCTCTTTGAGGGACCCCTCCTAGACTGACACTCTTGGGCACATTCTTCCTCCCACAGACCGGAGCTGCAAAATGTGGAACCTGGTGACAGGCCAAGAAATTGCTTCCCTCAAGGGTCACCCAAACAACGTGGTTTCCATCAAGTACTGCAGCCACACAGGGCTGGTGTTCACCGTGTCCACGTCGTACATCAAAGTGTGGGACATCCGGGACTCAGCACGGTGCATCCGCACCCTCACGTATGTGGCAAGCGGAAACAGCTCTGGGGGACCGTAGATGCTCTGGCCATCTCTGGTTTTGCCGAAGCCAGTCCCAGGACCTACTGGGGCTTGGGACAGGGGCAAGGACCAGCTGGTTTAGTGCCATTTTGCATTGCGGCACTTGTAGGGGACAGGGAGGCTGGGAGAGAGCTTGGGGTGAGGTGACCCATGGGGACCTCCTGCAGTGAAGGCTCAGGGTAAAGAACTTTTGAAGAGATTTGCAGCTACTTCTGGGGATGGCCAAGAGAGCCAGCAGCCCTGTAGAGAAGGCACAGCCCTTAAAACGGCGTAGTGGCTGCATAAATTACAGACTTGCCAGTGGGTAACTGGTCTTTATGAGGAGTTTGAGGATCAGAAAGGAGCATGGGACAGGCTGTAGCTGTAGTCGGCCAGTCTGGAGGCAGAGTCTTAAATTTTAGGACAGTATGGCAGGCCAGGATTACGAGCTTGTTCCAGCATAGAGCTCCTTTCTCCTTCCAGCATCAGATCATCTACCTTGCCCTGAAGACGCTTTTCCCTTGGTGCAGAGGCCAAATACCTCCGCCTCCCTGTGCTGATTTCCCAGCATACTAGCCAACTCTTCCTGCAGGCTGCTTCCAGCAGCCCTCAAATAGAAACCACACCTGACACCCTTGACTCCCTCTGTAAGCAGGGCACTGGCTCAGGGGACAGAGCTCTTGTTCATCACATTGTGGCCAGAGAGATGGTGATACCTTGGGGGCCTTTCCCTCCTGTGGGAACCGCCTGTGCTAGCCTGGAGCCTACAGCCCTGTGTTTCCTCAGTGAGGCCTCGGTGCTCCAACCTCTGCTCATCTTCCCACCTTGACCTCTCTCTCTCATAGATCTTCTGGACAGGTGATTTCTGGGGATGTGTGTGCAGGGACCACCACCCGCACTGTCACCAGTGTGCAGGGGGAGCACCAGATCAACCAGATTGCTCTCAACCCCACTGGCACCATGCTGTATGCTGCCACTGGCAACTCCGTCCGCATCTGGGAGCTGAGCAGGTGAGGGGGGTGGGGTGAGCAGGGCAGCTTACGGGTGCTGAGTGGACACTGTCTACTTGGAGGGGCCTGAAATTCCTCTCACCAGGGAAAATGAAAGCCTTTTTAGCAATGTAAGTTGCCTGGAATAAGGACTTTCAGAACCGTTTCCCATGGTACCCAAGGGATGGTGAGCAGCAGTGGGGCTACTTGGAGTGGGGATTTTGTCCATGAACTGGGCAGAGCTTAGGAGAAGGGGAAACACATGGGATGAGCAGCAGTATACCCCCACCATTTTTGCCCTTGCCCATATCCCTGCCAGATGGGCACTGAGCTGCTGACCCCCTGCTGCAGCTGAGGCTGTGCCGCCAGATGTTGGCATGGCCTGAGCATCCCCTGGTATCACTAGGAAGAGGGGTGTCCCTGCTCCCAGTCACCCAGAGGGAACAACCCCTACTGGGGGGCTCCAGAGTTTTGGGGGCCTCTGCCTGGGAGAGCCCTTTGGAGGAGCTTCAGCATCTGGAAAGGGGCTGGCTGACCCATGTTACTGAATTCAGGTTGCAGCCCATTGGGAAGCTGAGCGGCCACATCGGGCCTGTGATGTGTCTCACGGTAAACCAGACGTCAAGCAACCACGACCTGGTGGTCACGGGCTCCAAAGATCACTACGTCAAGGTACCCTCCCCCTTGGAGAGCAGAGCCCTGTGCCCCATAGGGAAGCCTAGATGTTGGCAACACCTAAGGTCTCTTCTCCTGAAATCTGAGCCCAGATTTCTGTTTTCACCTCTGCATGCAAGTTTGGGGTTTTTTTTTTTTGTATCTCCTTACCCCAATTCTTACGTTTTGCTTGGTTCACAATACAAATGCACCTTTGGAGATGGATTTGCATTTCTCTCATCCCTCAGGCTCTGTGGCTGGTACTTGCATGCTATGGCTGACCCAGATTAGCAGCTCACCCTGTTCTGCTTCCCGATAAAGATTCTTTGGTCCTGTTCATTCACAGCCCCAGCACAGCAAGAACTTGCTCCTCCCTTTTAGGTTTTTGCTGGGTCTTAGCAGGTTTTTAGCACCATGGGACTGAAGAGGGATGGTGAGATAATAAAGGAGGCAGTATCCTGCTCTTCTGACACCTGCAAGCTGTTGGCTTGGCTCATGGAGGGGTGTGAAAGCTCACCATGAGTACAGTGCAGCAGAATGGGGGCTGTCTCTGGTGGCAGACATCCCCTGATAGTGGCAGGACCCCTGGGGAGACCTCAGCCCCAAAAAAGCCCCCACAGGCCAATGTCCAATCCCCTTTCCAGCATCACTCGGGGTGCCCTGAGCCTAGAAAACAGAGGGTGATGTCCAAGTTCCCCAAGAGAGAATCATCTCTGTTTGCATTGCCATCTGGGGGTGTCTCACCCACTCTTTTTTCCCCAGGTGTTTGAGATTGCTGAGGGTATGGTGGGCAATATTGGCCCCACACACAACTTTGAGCCCCCTCACTATGATGGCATTGAGTGCCTGGCCATCCAGGGAGACATCCTCTTCAGCGGCTCCAGGGACAACGGCATAAAGAAGTGGGATCTGGAGCAGCAGGAACTTATCCAGGTCTGGAGGGGAGCATACTGCACAGGTCCTTGCGGTAATGTGGGGCAGAGTATTGTTGCTGGGGGCCTGGAGGGACTTTGTTCAGGGACCTGGTGCCAGTGTCTTGCACTGAGATAACCAGGGAGGGCACTCCCATTCCTGTGAATCTGGCAGTGCATGTGTGAGGCGGCTGTGTACCCATAAGTTTGTGCTGTAGGGCGCTCAGGATTGCCGTCTCCCTGGCATACAGGCTGCAGCACCAACTGCAGTGCCAGGTGTTGCATTCCTTTCTGAAGACAGGATTGTTGTCTTCTGCCCAGGAGACAAATCAAGCCCTGACTTTCGAATCTATCCCCTTGGCCTCCTAACTAGCCCTGTGATCCAGATCAGCCCCAGTGTGACTGTGAGGATCTGAGCCTCCCAGGTTGGGTGCATGTGGCTGCTGGTGGTGCTGCAGATGAGGTTGGTCATGATCTCTGCTCTGTCCCATATCAACAGCAAATCCCCAATGCCCACAAAGACTGGGTCTGTGCACTGGCTTTCATTCCTGGCCGCCCCATGGTGCTGAGTGCCTGCCGAGGAGGCATGATCAAAGCCTGGAATGTGGACACCTTCACACCGGTTGGGGAGATCAAAGGGCACGACAGTCCCATCAATGCCATCTGCACCAACTCAAAGCACATCTTCACTGCCTCCAGGTGAGCCCTGGGATTTCTGCTCCTATAGCCCCTGGGAGATGGGAGACCTCTGGGTTGAACTCTCAGCCCCGGGCCTGGGTGGGTTTGCACTGAGTGAGAAGGGAGCAGGGAGGGGAGAAAGGGAGGAGTCTTGCAGCTTTCTAGACCCTCCACTCCTTCATCTCGTCTTGCCCACCTTAGCCTGCTGCATGGCGTGGCCTGCCCACTGCAGTGCCAACAGCTTATTCCCCCAGCCATCCCCTGCACGCGATCTGGTGACGCCCTGAGTTATCCCCCACACAGGGACCCCTCTCCCCTGCGGCTGGGCATCTGCTGCTGCTCCGGGGAGCTCTTTGGCAGCAAGACTCTGATATCCTCTTTCCGACTATGTCCCTTTTTTCCCTTCCTTTTTCTGTCTCTCTCTGTCTCTCCTCCTCCCCACCTCCCATCTGTGCCACAGTGACTGCCGGGTAAAGTTATGGAATTACGTGCCTGGGCTCACCCCTTGCCTTCCACGACGTGTCCTTGCCATAAAAGGCCGTGCTACTAGTCTGCCTTGACCCTCCTGCTCTTTCTGACTCTCTTGCTCATGCACTCTTCTTTCTCTCATCTCTTTCTCCCTCTGTCTTTCTCTCTGTGGCTTGCTTTTGCTCCTCTCTCTCTCTTTGTTCCTTTCTTTCTCTCTGGTCTGAGCTGCTTCTTCACGGTATGAAACTATTTTGCGTTTTTCCCCACTTGATAAATCTTTGCTAGAAATTACTTGCCCCTGTGTCCCAGCCGTAGCCCCCAAATTGTTTTGGTTTGCCTTTTTTTTCCCCTTGCCGGGTGCCCACATCTACTGTGGCAGCTCCATGGAAGCTGTGGCGTGCCTGCACCCTTGCATGGATGGTGGGATGGGAGTCAGCAGCTACCCCCAAAGCCTCCCATGACCTGGGGAGACCAAGCACCACAGCTCCTTGCAGTGTCAGTGCTTTCACCTAGTTCAAGTTGATTCAGGGGGTGCAAGGGGTCCTGTTGTGGGGTCAGCCCTGGAGGTCACCACTTCCCTTTGTCCCCAACAGCTGCCAGTGAGGTGAGCTGGAGGCTGAGCCCCATTGGGCCTGCCTGCTCCCCAGAATGGATTGGGCAGCCTCCTTCTAAGAGAAAAGGACCTGGAAGTCTTGTGGGCTGCATGCTGCCGTGGGCTGGGGGTGGGGAGCATTTCCCCTTGCATTGCCTCTCTGCAGCGTGTCTGTGGGGCTCCTGTGGGAAGCCCTGGGTCACGCCATCCTTCTCACCTTTGTTTCTCAGTGACTTCACAGTGAAGCTCTGGAGTGGGAGGAGGTTACCTGCAGGGTCAAACTAGGAACTGCAAAAAGATGAAGACATGACAGGAGGGTGAAGGTCAGGGTACCTCTCCTTTGCTATCAAGACCTCATCATCTACAGGAGCTCAGCCCAGGGACAGGGATTTCTTTGTGCCTGACCCAACGGGGTGGACAATATCCCATCTGGTACTTTGAGCACTGCCAGCTCCTCTGAGGAAGCAGTTCCGTGGGGTCAGAGCTCCTTGGCTCCATCTCAGAGACACCCAATTCCCTCCTGCCACTGTAGGCTCATGTGTCCTCCTCCGTGATGTGCTGCTTCTGTCCCTGTTGGCTCCGGGACTGGTTCCTACGGGGGTTTTTCTCCACTCCACAGCCATGAGGACATTTGGTGTCTGCTGGCCAGGACCACAGCATAGAGGTGTCTGCTCCTTTGGAGATTTTACCTGTGGGACAGCCTTTCTGCTGGGCGGGTGGTCCTGCAGAAGAATTTCCAGGTAGTCCCATCATTCCTCATCCCGCATCTATCTGTCTGCAGCAATTAGAGGTGTGCATCTCTGAGCTCCTTTGCCATGTGCCAGCTGTGGAGGTGCAGCCAGCCTGAGAAGATCTCCATCAGGCAACTTCCAGACAAACCTGCTGCAGTTCCCTTCGATGTTCTTCAAACCCCAGTTGTAAACTCAGCTGACCTATGGCTCTCAAGCTCTTTTCTGTGTGCCCACTCTGCTCTTTAGTGGTGGAGGGAAGGGCTGCTTAGCAGGATTTTTTTGTTGGGTTCCTGCAGCTTGTTAACCCCCTTGAGATAGAGAAACAAAGCAAGAACGGAGGTTACAGAGCAAAGAGGCCAAGGTTGGGTTTGTCACCCCTGTGGCCCATCTTGTGTTGCCGTCACTGAGAGCTGGAAGCTGTAAGTTCTTCCTTCCCCCAGGCTCTGCTCTCAGACATCTACTGTGGCTGGGGTTTGCTCAGGTTTGGCCTGTTGTCCCCTGTGGATCCAGGAGCTGGAGAGGGCCCAGCAAGGCATGGAGCAGCCAGAGTTCATGCCAGGATGGAGTCAGCTGTGCCAGGAGCAGGATGACAAAGGGGTTGCACACACTGGTCTTGCACGAGTCCCCTGATTCAGCCCATACTTGAAGGACAATGATGGATGATCCTGTACAATCCAACTTCTGCGAAAGGCTGGAATATGTCCCCAAGGATGCAGCTTCTCCAGGCTCCTTCCTCCTTCCCTGCTGTGCAAGGGGCTGGCAAGGCTCTGGTCTTACACTGGAGCTTTCCTACATCTTTCCTGTGGCCCACTGGGCCAGCCCCCACTCTGTCCTGCCCTGGGCCAGGCAGGGCTTCTTAGGAGATGGCTGAGGAGACCCTGGGAGAGGTGCTTTTGCCTCACATGCTTTCACTTCCCTTCTGTCGCAGAAGCAGCAGCATTTAAACTTTACGGATTTCTCCGTGTGATCCCACCAGCACTGAACTGACATTTCAGAGGCCGGGGGGTCCAGGCTTTATGGGTTCCATAAAGCACAGACCATTTTCCCTTTGTTTCTCCAACCTTGGACACTCATGGACCAGGTCATTTTCCAGAAGCCCTCCTTAAAACTATTCGAGGTGAAGTGTGGGAATTCCTCCACATCTTGCAAGGCAGGAGCATCGCTAGTGATTTGATGTTTGGGTTTGGGTTTTTTTTTGGTGGTGGGGGGAAACCACATCCTGCTGCCTTGCATTGGTGGAGGGTGTGATGGCATGTGTGGTTGTGACCCTGCCCAGGATAGGCCCTGCACAGCCCGAGACCGGTGTCTGCATCAACACGAGGAGCCCTCCTGCCATGGCTGCTGGAGAAGTGACGCGAGTGCTGGCAGTCCTGGGCTGCACACCCGCAGGGCTGGAGGTGGCAACCAAAAATGCCTGGGGCACTGTGCTGCCAGAGTAACGCAGAGATGTGGGGGCCTGGAGGAGATGTTACTCTCCAAGCCTGTCTTGCAGAGGGTTTCCCCACTCATTCCTCAGCTGGTTTAACCTTTGTTTGGCCAGATGTGTGTGTGTGTCTGTCTGTAGTCAGGTGTACCATGTGCATCGGTGTCTGCACCAAGATCTGCCAGTGCCTGACCAGAAACCTCTGCTGCTCCCTGCTGAGGTTGGTGAAGAGACCTGCTCTTCAGGGGCTTGGGGTCAGACCTGTCTTGCCTTTTGCCACCAGTTTCTTCCTGTGTGTAGGCTGCAAGTGCCTGCCTAATTTCCCATGGCTCAGTGGCTAATCCTGTATGATACTGAGCATCCACCTTGTTGCTGCATCCAGCAACACACTGAGGGGGCTTTGAGTCTTTTGAAGCCTGCAGGTGGAGGTAGCTGGGTGCTGTGGCACAGCAGCAAGTATTTGGAGGGGGCGTGTCTTTGAAGTGAAGGGTGACTGTGATCCCGTAGCTCTGTGTGTGTGCACGTCTTGGTATCTGCATTGGTTGCTATTTCCAGTGCAGCAGAGCATTTCTTGGGTGTTGATCTGGTATCGCTACCTCACGGTGCAAGCTGAGTGCTGTCCCCATTGGGTTTTGTTTTGGGGATGGGGTGATGAGTTTGTGGGGTTTTATTTTTTTTTCTTCTCTTACTTATTGTTGTGGTTTTGACACTTGAATTTGTCTTGGGGGCACGTGGCCTCATGCCCACCTTGCTGCAGGTCTGTGCCACCCCTCGCGTCCCCCTCCCTACCTCCTCCTGGGCAGCGCAGCAAGACCAGCATCCTGCTCTCCCCTGTGCTCCCAGCTCTCACCATTGCAGTGGGATCCCCCAGCTGAGTTGCAACACTGAGATTTTGCTCCTGTTCCTGATGGGATGCTTGGTTTGAGGCTCATTGTTGTTAATTGAGTTTATATTTGCTGCCTGAAAGTGGTCCCTCTTATCCCTTTGAAGAATGGAAAGGGACCTCTGAAAGGCTCAGCTCAGCCCCTATTCCTGACTCTGATCTCACAGATACTTGCTGTGGATGCAGTGAAGCCCTTCTTGTCTGGCAAATGTCACGCAAAGCACATCGCTAGGATGGGCTGATCTTAGTCCCTATTTTCCAGGTCCTGGTGTATTTCAGTGGCAGCCTCGAGCAGCGGGTAACTGGTGCTGTAAAAGCCTCTGTCCAGGGCAGGGGTGATATGTGAGAAACTGATTCTTGTGTGTGATGTTTGATTTCTGCTCCCCCCCAAAATATAGTTGAACCTAGATCTTGTCCCAGGCACTGAACATAAATCAGGGTACTGACCCTGGAGCTCCTAGATTACTCCCTACTCGGGGCTGGGGAGCTGACACAGGGTCGTATCCTGCTCCCCTGGCACAATGGGGTTTGGGAAGGTTCTCGCAGCTCTGAGCCACACTCTCAGTTCGGTGGGGGCAGGTTCCCCCAAAAACTAAAGCACAAGGTCCCAACATGCAGGTGTCTAGTTACCGTGGTGTTCTTTCAGATCTCAGATGGGGGCCATGGCCTTGGACAACCAAGGTAGAGGTGGGGCTAGGGATGATGGTGAGGGCTGTTGTCTGCTGGAGGAAGCAGGTGAGCTGTGTCAGCCTTTTGTACTGTGTTGGGGTGCACCCATGGGGCTCAGGACTTTCACTATTGCATAGCTTAAATCCTTTCTTGTGGCCTCTGAGCCCCTCTGCTAGCCCCTTCATTGCAGGCACTGTTTGGAGCTGCCTTTTGGACCAAGAACCTCATTTTGCTTTGCCCTTGGGTGCCTTGGTTTGTGCCAAGGGTATGATGATACCAGTGGTCCAGTGATGTCCTTCCCTGCTCAAAGAGCTGGGTGATGCTTTTGTCCCCAAACCCTGAACTCTTGCTCTGTGAGACTCCTCCCTCCAGCATGCAGGAGCCAGCTCCAGCCTCCATCAAGGGTGTAGTGCTGGCCCAGAGCTGAGCTTTGCACACAACAGGTGGCTATGTCTCAGGAGCCCAAAAGCACTGGGCCCCCAAACTGCTGTGAGCCTCCCCAGGGAGCCTGGGCACTGACCCTCCCTGTCACCCACAGCTCTTATAGCACAAAAGGATGGGCTGGTGGTGCATCTCCCAATCTGGCCAGCTGCAAGGAGGTGCAGCACCACCGAGGTCTCGTCTCTCCCAGCTTGTCGTTCCTACCCAAGACTACTGAACACAACTGTTTTGAGGTATCAGGTGCTGCCTCCTGCCTTGGTGCTGCAGAACCAGTGCCTGTTCCCCATGGTGCTGTCCCAGTGGCCCTCTCCCAGTCCTTCCCCTGTCCAATTTGGGACAGGGTCCAGGTACGATCCTTGCAGAGCCCAGGGCTCCCACTTGCTTTTCAGCAAGCTCACTGGAGCTTTGCTCTGTCCTGCAGGCTGCACGCTCTCCCTGAGCCCACTTCACCCCCCTGGGGAGGGAAGGGCACCCCTGGCCCCTCCAGCCACTGCATGGTGCTCCAGCTGTAACAGAGAGCCCAGCACAGCCCTGACCCCTTCAGGCCCTGTCCTGGCTTCCGGGGCCTCACCCCCAGAAAAGCACAGCCCTGCACCTTCCTGCCACAGGGGCTTGTCCCCTCATCCCGTACAGCTCTGCCTGTGGTACCTGCCAACTGTTGTGCGTCCCCCATGTGCTGGGACCATCCCGTACCCTCTGATCCCGCCCTGTGGCAGGGCTCGGGCAGCTGCAGTGCCGCATCGCCTGCTCTGTCACCTCTTCCCGCTGCACAAGTATCGCAAATAGCAGGTGCCTTTTCTTGCTCAGAGCTGGTTTTAAATGTCAGCTCTTGTGAAGGCTGGTTTTTTTCTCTGCTGGGACATGCAGCCCAGCCCGGTGGTCTGGGTTTGTCAGAGGACAAGGCGTGTGCGTCTATTTTATACCTCGATGTGTTCCTGTAAATAGTGTAAGTTATTTCGGTCTCATGATGTACATTGTTTTTCAGTGGCTGTGTTTGTTCCTTGCCTTTTTGTCTTCACAAATAAAACGTACTGAATTGCAATGATGGAACAGAAAGGGCTCTGA